GGCTTTCTTTTCTGCTTGCCTCTTATCAGTTTTTTAAGCCCTGACATTTCCACTATCATGTAGATGACTCTTCTCTAATGACAACTTTCTCCCTAGCTACAGCACTTCTATGTTAGGGGGACTGGAGGTTTCTCAAGTATGCAGCAAATTTTGGAAGGGAGTTGTAAATTACAATGGCACCTGCTAATAGTACTCTGATTTATACCCAGACAAACCTTCCTGCTGAAGGGAGCCAACCTTTTTTAGGCATATATAAACTGCTCTGGACTGAAACATGCCTGGCTTGTTTAAGCAGTGAACTATTCTGTTCAGCTTCTGGTGATCAAGAATATCGCTCGCCTCTGAAGTGGTTGTGTTCGTATACAGCAAACGGCTGCATAAGGTTTCCGCCCCCCCCCACCGTATCTCTCTTGCAGCATACATATTGTCTTACTGTTTGCATTGCTCCTTACTATATGAGCTCTGATGAAAGCACCAAATATCTTGTGTGCAAAATATTAAATGGTTGCAATGTAAGGAATTGTAACGTAATTCTTGGATTGCTCTGGTATCCCAGAGTCTCTAAGGCCCTGTCTACACTGACAAGTTTCTGCGCAGTAAAACAGCTTTCTGCGCTGTAACATGCGAGGTGTACACACTACCAAGCCATTTAGTGCACAGAAACTACCCCAACGAGAGGCATACAGCTTTCTGCACCAGGGCTATAGAGCTGTGGTGCCAGTGTAGACACCCTGGTCGATTACAGCACTGCAGTTGGCCTCCGGGAGGTGTCCCACAATGCCTGTTCTTGCCTCTCTGGTCATATGTTTGAACTCTACTGCCCTGCCCTCAGGTAACCGTCATGCCCACCCCATAAATTCCTTTGGAATTTTGAAAGTCCCCTTCCTGTTTGCTTGGTGATGCATGCAGTGGTCTCAGCACATCTTTCCAGGTGGCCATGCCTGCTCCACGTACCAGGCGATCCCCTGCTTCCAGCAATGCTGAGCTGGTGGACCTAATCAGCATTTGGGGAGAGGCTGTCCAGTCCCAGCTGCACTCCAGCCGTAGGAATTATACCTACAGACAGATTTCACGATACATGACGGGCCATGATCAGGACACATTGTGCAGGGTCAAAGGGAAGGAGCTGCAGAACGCCTACCGCAAGGCATGGGAGGTAAACCGCCGCTCCGGTGCTGGGCCCACGAGCTGCCGGTTCTTCAAAGAACTGGACGCAATACTTGGTGGCGACCCTACCTCCACTGCGAAGGCTGCTGTGGATACTTCGGTGGCTCACATGCCAGTCGAGAGTGGACTGAGCCAGGAGGAGGAAATCTTGGAGGAGGGCGGGGACCCAGAGGCAGAGATGCATGCAGCCAGGAGCTCTTTTCTACCCCGGAGGAGGCTAGCCAGTCTCAGCTGTCGGATGTTGGCGAAGCACAAATAGGACAGGAGGCTCCTGGTAAGTGGATTTGATTTTGCGAATCACTGAAACGAGTTGTTGGGGTCAGAAGGGTTGCAGAAAGCAGACTTATCTCCTACCACATGCTTAGTCTGAGCGGCGGAACAGACTGTTGGTTGACTCCCTCACTTCACAGGAATCTGCCTGAGATCTCCAGGAAACTTTCGTGGCGATACTGGGCAATCCGCTGCCGCAGGTTCTTTGGCAGACCTGCTTTGTTTCTTGCCCCATTAATGGTAATTTTCCTGCGCCAGTGTGGGGATAGGAATGATTATCAGGCCCCCTCCCCCCACAGTGCTGGCTCTCCCCACGAGCCCAGTGTACAGCAGGGTCCGGGAAGACTGACTTTTCCCTGCCCCTGTGGCCACTCACCATTTGGGGAGGGTCTTGCGGCTCATGAGGACTTGCCTGGGGTCAGCCAGTTAGTGACAGGTGTGTGAGTACTGGCTGTGTTTTAAATCCCTGTTCTGTGTGTTGCAAACAATACTGCTTCTGTAAAATGTTGCATTTAAGCTTCAGAGAGATGGCCTTGGGGGAGCCCAGCCTCCCTCTTTGTTATCGGCGGCTGAATGACTGCACAGAATTAGAAAGCGGCCAAGAAGAACTAAGGAGGATTTTGAGTAGTGATATGATGCACTCAACGTCCAAGAGAAATTTGAAGGAGTGGCGAGACAGCAAGAAGAGGGACCGAAAGGAGAACGTGGCAAGCCAGAATGAAGCCCACAGAGTGGCTCTTAAAGGTTATGGAGCATCAAGCAGACACACTCCAGGCGATATTAGCTCTGCAAACCGAACAGCTCCATTTCCCCCCGCTCCTCTCCCTCCCCCCCACCCCCCCGCAGCTGCTGTCACAAAACTCTTTCCCATGCTCCCCCCAGACACTGCCAACACACACTTGTCAACCTCCTGGCTCCAGTCTATACCTGCGGTATTCCACTCCTCCCGCCTCACAGTCCAGCACTGCGGACTCCCACTACCCACTGCACTCAACACCCATCCCTCTGCAGTTTGGCCCTGGTGAAGTATAGTGCCTGCTGCATTGTACTCCAAAGGAGACGGTTGGATATGATCCCAGGACATACACAAATCTTTAGCCATCCCAGGACCCCACCTCCTCCTGGGACCTTCCCTTCCCCCATTCCCCTCACTGCTGATGTGGTTGGTTGGTTGTTTTGTTTGACTCTCTCCTCTGGTTGTTGTTTTTAATAAAAGGATTGTTGGTTTGAAAGCAAAAAGAGCCCTGCAAAGCAACATACAATTATGTTAAACCCACATATTGCATCATCTGCACCAATCACCTCCTGTCATTACAAGCACTGCACTCCCGAGCAGAGCAACAAATATTAGTGGCTTTCAGCTTCAAATTGCTGCCTCAAGGCATCCCTGATCCTTATGGCCCCATGCTGCGCCTCTCTAATAGCCCTGGTCTCTGGCTGTTCAAACTCAGCCTCCAGGCACTGAGCCTCTGTGGTCCAGCCCTGAGTGACGCTTTCACCCTTCCCTTCACAAATATTATGGAGCGTACAGCACTCGACTATAAGCATAGGAATATTGTCGTTGGCCAGGTCCAACTTCCCATAGAGGCAGCACCAGCGGGCTTTTAAACGGCCAAAAGCACACTCAACAGTCATTCTGTATTTGCTCAGCCTGTTGTTGAGCCGCTTGTCAAGTTGCCCCATGTATGGCTTCATAAGCCATGGCATTAAGGGGTAGGTGGGGTCTCCCAGGATCACAATGGCCATTTTGACTTCCCCTACAGTGATCTTCTAGTCCGGGAAGAAAGTTCCTGCTTGCAGCTTCCTGAACAGGCCAGTGTTCCAAAAGATGCGTGCATCATGCCCCTCTCCGGACCAGCCTGAGTTAACGTCTGTGAAATGCCCACGGTGATCCACAAGCGCCTAGAGAACCATTGAGAAATACCCCTTGCGATGAATGTGCTAGGTGGTCTGGTGCCAGAATTGGACTATACATGCCATCTATCGCCCCTCGGCGGATAGGGAAGCCCATTTGTGCAAAGCCATCTACAATATCACGCACATTGCTCAGATAGCTGCCCAGAGTGCACGGCTCCGAATACCGCTGCGAGTGCCACAAGTGTGACCATGCTGTTGCGCAGGCAGCTGACTGTGTGAACAAACAGCGGTTTCCCTTCAACACTCTCAGAGAGGCGCTAGAACTCCTGGCACTGTAACTCTGCTAGTGTAGACATCAAGTTTAAGTGTTGTATCATGTCTCCAACTTTTATTGTAATTAAAGTTGGGACTACTTTTGCTGTCTGTCAGTGCTTCTTTGACTAACCATAAGGTCTGCTGTTGGCATTCTGCATACACGGACAAACCTGTGGGGGCAGTGATGTGGCATTCCCCAGGGGTTTACATTGCCGTCCTGTATGTATGCTTAAATAAAGAGACATTGCAGCATTGTTGCTTAGTACACGTGTCTGTTTCTGTAGTATTGCAATTAAACATTCATTGTACAAAGGCCTGGTTGTACTGAATGACTAATGTTGCTGAGAGTCCTTTTTTTATGGAGGTGTTTCATATAACAAGATTGTAGCAGAACTCCAAGTTGCTTATGAAGGCCACGCTAAAGTGCAGAAGGTTTCTCTTTATCAGGCTAAGGACTACAACTTGAAAAATGTGTTTGCCAGCAATGAATGGGAAGCTCTCCCTACCCAGTGTGGCTGGTGGGGTAGGAGGGCGCACAGCAAAGCTGTTGCAGAACTTACAACTTTCCATTAGAAATAAGCTTCTAGCCATTACAGCTGCAAAACGTCCAATGTGACCTGATGCCATGGTTTTTATTTGACTCTCTAAACAACTACAGCGCTAAAGCTGCTGCTTTTGGTTTTGCCCAGCAGCAGCAGTAGACTTAAATTAACAAGACTATAGTGTTTCACCATTGTCCTCTGTGGAATTGTGAAACTGTTCATTCCTCCCGAACTAACTGGGAGAGGGAATAGAGTGGCAGAGACCTATTTTCATCTTTACGGCAGCCAGGAGGCTATGCAGATGAAAGAGGACAGAGCTGCTTCTCTCTTCCAGTTGGAGGACTAGGTGTGGCATCATCTTAAAATCTAAGCTTTAGACACTTACTAGCATTGATCCAACAAATGGAGGACCCTCTGCAGGAGCTAGGGTCAACACTGGTAGAATACTCAGCATCTTCCTTCCCATCTTCTGTGGATGGCACAGTGGCTGGGCTTGTCCGCACAGTGTTCGCCATTCAGCAGTGTTCAGGGGCAATTCCTATATTCAGGGATGTGGCATGATTCTTTCATGTGAATCTAAAGCTTTCTAATAAGAGAGTAACAAACTTTAGATAAACCACTGTTATAATTTGACATGAAAAGTAGATACAGATGCTCTGTGCAGTTGCAATAATACCTAGTGCTTCTGAGCCCAAGTAGGAGTCTTGTCTGATGCATTCTGTCCTCCATCTCTAGAGATGCTTGATACTGGTGACTTTCAGGGTCTAACATTTCCACCATTGTGTGGAGCAGTAACAAGTCCTATTGTGATTTAGAGTAAATAACCTAAATTTAAAACTTTTTTTCCAGTGATTAATCTAAAACTGATTTGTGGTTGTACATGTGACAGACTTCTGGGGACAAGACTGCGGTGAAAATGTCTCATCCAGAGTCTTCCTATTCCTATGATGCAGAAACTACCTACATCAACTTCAGGACTCTGAATGATGATGACATGCAGAGTGTAGATTCATGGTTTGGTAAGTATCTTAGAGTTTGGTGTCTGCTTTCTGCTGAGGTGAGGCTTTGGGAAAGTAAAATGTCCCTGCCCTGGGAAACTGTCTTGTTAGGCTTGACTTCTATAGCAAGTAGGTTATGTTGAATTATGCAGTAAATGACATTTCTAAAACCCAAGTACAGTAAAATGCTATCCCTGATCAGAACTAGTGAGTTGACGACAGGCTTAACTAATACCATAATTACTTGTATACCATGTGGTATTGTTACAAATGCTTAATATAGAATGTGTTGACAGTGTTTACTCTTTCACAGATCTGAAAGCCGGTTCAGAGAATGTCCCTCCTGCAGAGAATGTGGCAACTGTCTTGCAGCACAAGCCTGCCTCTTCAAAGGCTAATCTTCCTCAAGCTATTGTTCCACCAATGGTGAAATCCAGTAAGTTGGCACAATTCTGAAAAAATAACCTCCATCCACGAGAAGTTGAGAGGCATTGGTGCTAAGTGGCATAATGGCTTAGTCCAGCATGGTTCTGTGAGCTTGTTATGGTCTTGTAAAGATATGACAGACATGGCTTAGTACACTTGCAGACTTGCTAGTTCACAAGCAAAGTTTAGAAATGCACTCTGGAGACGTTTGAAATTTTTTCCTGCCTTCTTAGATTTGTCTTCTGACCAGACTTTTGTATTCAGTCCTGCCTCTCTACTGTCCAATTTAGAGAGGTCTCTCAAACACTCTTGCTTCTGGGGTTCTAGGTTTAACTTTTTTTCCTTTTATTTGTTTACACAGTCTTCAGTTGGGTTCTAATACTAGAGATGGTGTCAACTCTAACCCTGGTGAACTTTCTACAAAGAATCTTGCATCTGCCCAAGACACAATACCCATCTGTCACCTTATAAACATACTTTCCTAGATTAATGTTACTCCCCTGCTGATGGGGGGAAATGCCACCAATAGACCCACCCCCATCTTTGTATCCAGTTCCAAGATCTCTACATTTCCTCCTTAAGAGTTACCTGCCTGAGCCACTTGCAGCACATTTGATTGGGAGCACCTATGCTCTTCCGACCAAGACAAGCGTGGAGTATCCTGGTTTCAGAACTCTTTATCCTGGTATGCTTTTCTCAGAGAGAGAACTATGTGACAATCCTACTCAACAGCAGAATTATTTGTAAAACAAGACATTAAAATGTAGAGGGAAGGATTTGAAACAATAAGGTCTTATCATAACTAGACTTACAGTTGGCAGAAGTTAAACTAGATAAGGCATTTTTGTCTTAAGTTGCAGAAAAGAGAACTAAAAACTTACAGATTTCAGAGAGCAAACTCATAGGTCTTTTTTTTTTTTTTCATTAGAATCCCTGCGTCCTATTTTTTTCCTAGGGCAAGGGAGGTGTGTATGGTGTCTCAACATTTCCCGATGGTCTGCTAGAATATCTAGATAACATAAGCCCTTGGCTTTCTAAACTATCTCCATAGTTGCATACTAACATCTCCTGAGGCTCAGTCTCTAAAAATGTGTGTGGGCGGGGGAAGGGGCGGCCTTTCAGTCTGTTCTGTACAGGACCTTCTTAGTCTATTACCATTTAGCAAGCTTTTATATGGTATTTTCTACTACCCTCTTTTAGGCTATGTCTACGTTACCACTTATGTCGATATAACTTTTGTCACTTGGGTGTGAATAAGCCACCTCCGAGTGATGTAAATTACACCGACCTAAGCGCTGGTGTGGGCAGCACTATGTCAGCAGGAGAGCTCTTCCCGCTAAACTAGCCACTGCTGATCATTGGGGGTGGATCAATTAAGTCGACAGGAGAGCTCTCCCGTCAGCTTACAGCAGCTACATTAGAGAGCTTATAGTGGTGCAGGTGCAGCTGTAGCCATAACCTTAACCTGTTCAAAAGCAGAGACTAACTTCCCTGTTTCACCCAATTAGGTGAAAACCATGAGATGGAGGAGAGAGAAATGGCGCAGGCAATGTTGAGACCACAGAATATTGTTGGTTCTCTGGCAGCCTGGAAAGTCCCCTCAAATGATGATTCACCTCCTGCTCCTTCAGGAGCTTCTCAAAGGTAAGAATGCTTGTCAGCTTAACCAAGTTCTATGTGAGGCCTAGTGGTGATCCTCATCAGCAGCATGCCCAAGCTGTGTCCTGGGCTAGGTGGGCAATGATGGTATAGCAGTCTCAACTCTTCATGAATGGTTCCATATAGATAGAACTGGAGACTGATATCGGCTTAACCCACCACATACAGCACCGTGTGAGCTTGTCTGTGCTGTCCTGTCAATGGGTCTATTTCCTAACCCGAAGGCCCCATCTGTAGGGGTAAGAAGGTAGTTCAGTTTCATACCTGTTGGCTGAGATATCCTGGAAGTCACCAGCACAACTGGCTGTGTAGATATCTGGAATTGGACTGAGGCTGTAAGTCCTGTGACGGGTTGGATCACAGAAACCCCCTTGGGAGCTGCCACCTGATGTGCCAAGACTACCTCTGCTCCTGTTTTCCCTGCCAGCTCAGGACTCCATCACCCTGTCTTGCTGAGCCAGACACTCCCGTCTGCTCCAACACAGACCCAGGGTCTGAATTACTTGCCCCAAAGCTGCAGGTTTACCTGAAAACAGCTCACAGAAGTGTGCTTGTCTTGAGCACTCAGATGCCCAACTCCCAGTGGGGTCTAAACCCAAATAAATCCGTTTTACCCTGTATAAAGCTTGTACAGGATAAACTCACAAATTGTTCGCCCTCTATAACACTGATAGAGAGAGATGCACAGTTGTTTGCTCCCCCAGGTATTAATACATACTCTGGGTCAATTAATAAGTAAAAAGTGATTTTATTAAATACAGAAAGTAGGATTTAAGTGGTTCCAAGTAGTAACACAGAACAAAGTAAGTCACCAAGCAAAATAAAATAAAATGCACAAATCTATGTCTAATCAAACTGAATACAGATACTGAAGCACCTCTGAGGGTGAGATTAAGTTTTTTTTCCTCAGACTGGACATCTTCCAGGCCTGGGCACAATTCTTTCCCCTGGTACAGCTCTTGTTCCAGCTCAGGTGGTAACTTGGTGGATTCTTCATGATGGCTCCTCTCCTCCCCTTTTGTTCCATTCCACCCCTTTATATATCTGTTGCATAAGGCGGGAACCCTTTGTCCCTCTGGGTGTACGTACGTATGTATGTACACACACACACCCTCCACCCCCCCAGGTTAAAGACTGATTCCAGTTCAGGTGACATGATCATATGTCACTGCAAGACTTCATTACCCCCTTGCCGGTATACAGGAAGACTCACAGATAAAACACAGCCATCTGCAGACAATGGTCCTGGTCAATGGGAGTCATCAAGATTCCATTAATGGCCCACACTTTGCATAATTACAATAGGCCCTCAAAGTTATATTTTATATTTCTAGTTTTAGATACAAGAGTGGTACATTTATACAAACAGGATGATCACACTCAGATTATAAGCTTTGTATTGATACCTTACAAGAGACCTTTTGCATGAAGCATATCTCAATTACATTATATTCACTTATTATCATATTTTTATAAAACCATATAGACTGCACAACATCACAGTCCCTTTGCTGTTGGTGATACTTAGAAGTTTCTACTGAGTGAGGCTGAGTTCAGACTTGCAACCTAGATGCACAAGGGGGCTTTGTACCATAGTACAAATAACAGAAATGATTTTGGTTTTCAATTAGCAGTGTAACGATTAGCTGCTGTTAGTCTCCTCTGAAGCATATCTGAATGTAGTGCTGTCTGGATTTCCGTGACTCTTTCCAGCAGATATTGAAATACACTATATGGAACTGATTCTTTCCCAAAGACCACATGGGAGACTTGACACTGTTCTTTCCTGCAGGAGGATATCCAGAAGACTGTCAGCACAACAGAAGAATTCCCAGCAACGCAAACGTCAGGCCAAAGTCAAAGCAGAGAGATGCACTGTCACGTCCATCAAAAAGGAAGATGTTCCACCCACCAAGAAACAGAAAATGTACATCACCAGAGTCCTGCTTGGGGCTGGGTGGTGGGAGTGCTGCTTTTTATCTCTCGAATTACTTGGAGACCATTCTTCTGATAGGCTTCAGCCTAGATGAGATGGACTTGCAGGCTTAGGTAGAGGTGATGGAGACCTGGTTCATGATACTAATTCCGTAACACGTGAATCCAGTGATTTGTTTTTGTTTTGTTTTTTTCCCTCCAAATTTGAGGAGGAATGCTGGGCGGGAGAGGGAGAGATACAGCGAGTGATACAGCTTTGAGTTTCTTAATCCCTATCACTCTGGGCCCAATGCTTCTGTGAACTGTCTTTAAACTCGATTCATGCTACTAGTGAGGATGGAGTCGAACAATTCTAGACTACGAGAAGAGAATGTTTCTCAAATTCAGTTTAAATACGACTCCACTATATGCTAGGAAACTTTGGATCAAGAAAACAATACACTAGTGCAGTTGTCACAGGATGGGATGTATGCCTCAGCAATTACTCTTTCCACCTAACAGAGGACAGTACATACATCAAAGCCCATTCTGGAAGGAGAAGCTACATTCTGAAACTTCAGTAATTAGTCTTCCCTTTTGCAGCTTTAACAGAGTACCGGGGAAAACTAGACCACCAGTGCCATGCTATATGGCCAGGTAAGGCTCTTCCTTGGGTTATCTTCAGATGACTGGTGAATTCACTAGGTGTTTGGGATGTCCAGGGCATGTTAGTGAGCGCTAGAACCAGTGTTGCACTGAAAACACTGGCATCCAGGAATGGCTTGCTCAGTTTTGTGTTGATATTTATCTATTTTGTCACTGTAGCTGTAGCAGTAGAGAGAGAATGACTGAAGTATCGATGAACAGAGATCACTCCCAGAGCACTGAACTCTCCCCAGCCAGACCCAAGGGCAAGCTGACCATGCCTACCACGCCAACAATGCTGAAGTACGTAGCTTTCCTGTGAATGGGAACAATCTCTTTTGTGCTAGTAGCTGTAATTTTAAAATACGACCATTTAAGGAAAGCTTGTGGTTTCAAGTCTTACTATTATATGGGGGGTGGGAGAGGCAGTGTGCCCGCAAAGTGTTCTGAGTATGTACGCAGTAATCCTCAAGTACAAATGAGGAGGTAGCCCAACTAGCTGTATGTGGACTCCTTGAGATACAAAATCAAAGACTGTAGTTAGCCAAAAATATAGGCTTTACTCTGTTGAACAGTGTCTCTGGAACTTGAGAGTTAGACTTCTGCACTGCAGATCTTCAGTTGATGTGTCTGTGAGGTGGGAATGCAATATCCAATAGAAATGGGAAGTTACGTTTGTTGAGATCATAGAGGTTTGGCAAGGGATTAGTATCTCCTCAGGCTGTTGAAGAGGAGCAGGTAAACCTCCTGTAAACTTGTGGAAGTTGTTCACTCCTGCGACCGGGGTCCTAGTGGGGGCCAGCTGTAGTCATTCAATTAGGGTGAACTGCAAAGAATGGAGCAGACAATCCCCAAAAAGCTGGTGGATATTCCAATACTTAGATTTTTCAAGACAGCATAAAACAGCTTCTTTATTACCTCACTGGTTACTCAGAAGTCCAAACAATACAGTTCCCTTAAAGGATCCAGCCTCAGGCCTCCATCCAGGCACCTAAGTCAAATATGATGATTTCTGAAAATCTTATTTCATCATATAAAAGAAAATGTTCTACCAATCCCAAAGGGTTGGAGACATTACCTCCCTGGTTATTGAATATTCCAGATCTTACCCAAAACACTCTACAGCTAGTTCTTATTAACTAAACTAAAATTTATTAAAAAAATGAAAGACAGACATTAATTCAATTCTTAAGATTCAGATTCATAGCAGAGATGGTGAGCTTTGTAGTTGCAAAGAGCTCTTTTAGAAATAGTTCATAGGTTATAGTCCGATATCCAAATATCATATTCAGGGCGTACCAGCATAACTGGGACCTGTCTTGCGACTCAAACTTCCCAGATGAAGCCCAAGCAGATCTGAGATGACAGAATCAGGACCAAAGGATCTTTTATACAATTTAATGTCCTTTTTTGACAAGTTGGTATTTCCTCGGGGAACAGAAGGTCATTAGGATGACTTTGAAGGAGGTCCATCACTAGTACTTAGCTATACGAATTAACATAAGGCCATTTGCTTGTTCCTCCAACATTCAGAGTACACTTCAAAGAGAGATGAATACAGAGATATCCCGTGTTTACAATTCATTTAAATGCTAGGATGTTCTTTTGATCTCTGAAGTATCAGAATACAGCACAGACAGGGACTGTTGATTACATCATTGACCCTACTCATATATTATCCCTCCACATGTCTTTTGAGAGTTATTTATTTTATAGGATGTTTAACCCTTTCTGGCCATGCATCACAACTCCTCTCTCTACCTTTCTGACATACTTCACTCTTTCAGGAGGAAGTATCTTTCTGGCAAGCTAAAGAGCACAGAGGAGCAGGAGCTGGAAAAGATGAAGCAATTGCAGCAGGAGACAATGGATCTGCGCAAAAAGAATGAAGAGTCCCTGATAGCTGCTATTGCTGGCTCAGGTAGGCTCTAGCTAAACATGGAGGCTTAGCATCCCATGCCCTCCTAGTGACCCGTGAGGGTGTGGCTATGGATAGTGCCTTCTGGAGGGAAATGTCAATGTATGGCCATTTCTAAGAACATGGAATGCAGTTTGAGCCCCCTTAGCTGTTTGCTTCTCACCTTCCATTTCTTTGGTGGGTGTACTCTAAGTAAAATGCACTGATCCTGACATGGGCATCTGATATATCCTGATTTCACTAACCCATCCACAGATTATCTTGTGTCTTGTATGAATTCTAGTCTGGAGGATTTGGGTTGATGCATGTCATGGTTCCAGGGACAGAGCAGCACTTCCACTTCTCAGAGTAGAATCCCATGATTCACCCCAGTTTTAGACTGGTTCCTTGGCAGGTGGCAGGCCCCAACAGGGTTTGGCACCTGCCAGATGCTTTCCTTTGGGCATGTCCTCAGTATGAAAATGCAGTGACTGTAGACAGCTTCTCTGAAACAAAAGGGTAAAAATAACAAAAGGTCTACATATATATCTTCTTACTTATGCTTATCACTTCCCTGAAGACTTGGGGCTTGTCTATGTAACCCTTCTGCCCGTCTGAGTTGGCAGCAACAAGGGCCGGGTTCAGTATTAATTTGGTTTAGCTTAATTCAGTTTTGTGCCAAATTAAGGTCACTTTAATTCTGAACAAGAGCATCCACACAGGGACTTAATGCCATTTAATGAATCTGTGTTTTAAATTCACACCTTTAATTAATTTGGATTAATTTTCCTGAGTGTCTATCTGTAGAAAAACTGTTAGATAGTCCTGAGTTAACCTTGGTATCCCTGCTTTCTTCTTCGAGTGCTTGTTCATGTCAATTCCAATCAGGTGACTCAAGGCCTCTGTTCTCAGGCGGAACTTGCTCTCCACGTCAATGTCGGAGAACAGAGAGCGGTACGCCTCGCGTGCCAGACTTTCCGAGGGGGAGGCTATTTCCTATATGCGTTTCCGCCTATCCCTCTCGTTCACAAGGTGCTCCTCAAGATACGGAGGGAACAAGCTTTGGTGATATTGATAGCTCCAGCCTGGCCTCACCAGCACTGGTACACATCACTCCCTGTCAAGTGCCATAGTTCTTTAGTTGGGGGGTTTACACACACCCCCCCGACTCCCTGGAGCCGTGGTATGCCGCAGTCCCCAGGGTTTAAAACCTGAGAGGTCTGCACTAAGCACATGCCAAAGAGTGACCCTCATGCCTTTAGTTTAAGGTGCCTGGGGAAGGTCACCAAAAGGACCGTTGTAAGATTTGCCACGAGTTCCATCCCAGAACTATTAAAGAAAGGGACCAGCGGCTCAAAGTTCTCCTTATGGAGGCAGCTCTCTGCCCCCACTTGGACCCGGGGTCAGAGGACCTCTCACCCAGCATGTAATCGTTGATGCAGAGCACCCCAGCACCTCCCAGGAACCGGTGCCAAGAAAGGACTCTTCCCGAGACGCTGAGCACTGGCATGGCTCCTCCCACAGCCAACCGGCAGGCAAACACCGATCTCATTGCCAGTGTCTTAGAAGAAAAAGAAGCCAGAGAGCACCATCAGCACCACCCTGGTCCCACGTGCAATCAAGAGGGAAGCCGGCAATGATGTCCCAGCATTCTCCTTCTCCATGGCACCCTCTGGTGCTAGCTCCTCCGGGGAGAGATCCCAGTCGGTCCCCGAGCTCCCAATGATCGGTTCCCCAAAGTACAGCTTCTCCGTGGTCTTCCTTTTCTGAGACCTCGGAGTCAGATTCCTACCGCTCTGACAAGAGCAGGAGGTCCCGGTTGTGGCGGGACAAATGGGCTTGCCAGGCATGATGGCCACCGCAGTGGTAGAACCTATCACAGTGGCCCTTCTGGACTCCCTGGGCCTTCCACCAGAGCCAGGGGTCCCACTCGGTGATTTCGGTAGCTTTGGCCACCTTTATCCCACCTCCAGTCGATCGAGCAGCCACCACCTGCGTCGACGCCATCGGCACTGGCTTAGACTCGGCTCCTGCATGGACAGTGGCTCCTGCACCGACAGCGGCACCAATACCGTCCTCCACAGCCCCAGCACTGAGGGGCATGGCGCTGTCCACCTCGGCACCTACCCGGGCCCTCTTGGGCGCTGACAGCAGGGAGCAGCCACCTTTTGGGGGGGCCTCCTCCTCGTCGTCGCCAGATGAAGCCCTGGCGGGCACTGCCATAGCACCAACACTTGAAGGCAATAGGGTGTTGCAGCAGTTGCTGCGTCGGGTTGCCCAGGGTCTGGGCATCAAGGCAGAGGAGGTAGTTGAGTATTCTGATCCCATGGTGGATATCCTTGCGCCCTCTGGACCTTCCCGTATTGCCCTGCCGCTCATAAAAAACCATTGCGGACACCACCAAGACCCTGTGGCAGACCCCAGCCTCGTTGTTGCACTTGGCCATGGGTGGCAAATGGCAATACTTTGTGCCTTCTAAGGACTAACACCACCTATATTCCCACTCACAACCTGATTCCCTTGTTGTGAACACTGCCAATGAGTACAAGTGGCAAGGCTTCCAAGGGCCCTCTCCCAAAAACGGAGACTAAAAAAACTCTCTCTTTTCGGGAGAAAGGACTATTATATGGGTGGATTCCAACCAACAGGGCATTGTCAGTTGGTTCTCTTATAATTCCTGTGCGGTAATGGCAAAATTTACGGAACTGCTCCCCCTAGACTCCCAGGCCGAGTTTTCAGCCTTGGTTGAAGAGGGCAAGCTAATTTCACAAGCTTCCCTCCAGGCTGTGCTGGACGGTGCTGATGCTGCCATGAGTCATGGCTACAGGGGTGGCCATGAGAAGGGGCTCCTGGGTGTCCAGGTCTCTGGTCTCCCGTACGAGGTCCAGCAGACCATACAGGACCTCTCCTTTGAGGGTGTGACTGTTTGCCGAGAAGACAGATAAAAGGCTACGTAGCCTGAAAGATTTCTAGAGCCACCCTCAAAGCCTTGGGCCTACACACTCCCGCCACTCAGCGGAAGCACTTCAGGGCACAACCTCCTCCAAGGTTCTACCAACAGAATTGTCAGGACGGTTCCTGGAGAAGGACTAGGAGCAGCAGGAAAAAGCCGCACCCGTCCTCAGGCCAGGACTCTGGCCAACCCAAGCCTCCTTCCGGCCAGAGACAGGCCTTTTGAAGGGGCGGTCAAGGACGGCTCACCAGAGCAAGAACTGGATCCACCCCACCTTCTCTTTTTTTGTCCCGACTATCCCCTTTCTACCGTGCCTGGCCCTGTATCACTTTGGACCACTGAGTGCTCCGCAGAGTAGAGAGGGAATACTCCATCCAATGCAATTTCATGGATCCATTTTTTTAAATTCACACCTTTAATTTTCCTGAGTGTCTATCTGTAGACAAACTGTTAGATGGTCCTGACTTAACTCTGGTATCCCTGCTTTCTGAGGACTCTTGTCTTATCTGCACTGTACCACAATTCAGCGGTGTGAGTATCCGCATGCACCAGAGTACTGCACTGTAAGTCCCTGTGTGTGGGCCCTACGGGTGCAGACTAAAAACATAGTTAGAGGACCAAAAAAGTGCTACCGTGGCTAAACAAAGTAAAAGAAACGGAGGCAAAAAGGCATCCATTAAAAAGTGGAAGTTAAACCCTATTGAGGAAACTAGAAAGGAACATAAACTCTGGCAAATGAAGTATAAAAATATAATTAGGCCAAAAAAGAATTTGGAGAACAGCTAGCCAAAGACTCAAAGTAATAGCAAAAAAATTAAGTACATCAGAAGCAGGAAGCCTTTTAAACAACTGGTGGGGCCACTGGACAATTGAGATGGTACAGGAGCACTCAAGGAAGATTAAGGCCATCGTGGAGAAACTAAATGAATTCTTTGCATCAGTGTTCATGGCTGAGGATGTGAGGGAGATTCCCAAACCTGAGCCATTCTTTTTAGGTGACAAGTCTGAGGAACTGTCCCAGATTGAGGTGTCATTAGAGGAGGTTTTGGAACAAATTGGTGAATTAAACAGTAATAAATCACCAGGACCAGATGGTAGGTTCTGAAGGAGCTCAAATGTGACATTGCAGAACTGCTAATTGTGGTATGTAACCTATCCTTTAAATCTGCTTCTGTACGAGATGACTGGAGGATAGCTACTGTGACACCAATTTTTTAAAAAGGCTCTAGATGCACTCCTGGCAATTATAGACCAGTGAGCCTAACGTCAGTACCAGACAAACTGGTTGAAACTGCTGCAGTTGGGGGGGGGGAGGGGGCAGCACGTGGTGCCCCCCACCAACAGGCCAGGGGGGCCTGTGGCCCTGCTGCTGCTCCAGTAGGGAGGTGGCCAGGTGCTGCCCCCTGCCCCATCGCTCCAGGACTAGCTGCCTGGGGCTGCCAGAGCAGTGGCCGGGGCGGCTTTCCCCGAGGCTGCCCCAGCTGCTGGGGTGGTCCTGGGTTCAGCCACACCAGTGCAGCAAAATTCACGGAGGTCCTAGAAAGTCCTGGACGCTGCGACCTCTATGAATGATTCGCAGCCTTAACTAGGACTCCCTGTGTGGATACTCTGATTTCTGGAATAAGGGTTTTGTTCCGTAGTGGTGTAATCCACTTTGGAAGTGGATTGGGTTAATCCAGGATAAGAGCACTCACACAGGGAGTTAGTCAGGAATAGCTCCTCTGCTTTAAATTCACACCCTACCTTAATCTGCATTAATTTCACTGTAGGCCTTAATCTCCAGACCCTCCTCTTCCCCATACTTTCAGGACTGAGGCTTTTAACCATTTCCAAGTTCTTTAGTATTTAAGTGTTGGGGATGGGCTGGCTACAACCATGATCTGCTTTCTTGCAGATGTAACTCTATTTGGATCAGAGTCAGATCTCTGCACCATGTAGCCGACAACATGGCTATAATTGAATAGACCGAGGTAGACCTATCCACAAAAACAGATTTTCCACATTCTTAACAGCATGTTTCTGGGACCATATCAAATGGCATGTCTAAAGTGTATTGGGCCACAAATCTGTCTGGAAACAAAGCTTAATTATCTTGTGAAATATAAAGGGCTGAGGATGAGTTTGCAGGCCTGATATAATGCACATAACTGCATGGAGAACACAGGTTTTGGATGAGCATAAACTGCTCCTCTGGTATCAGTCTCATGGGTTTTTCTCCTTTTTAGGACAACCTGTGAAGAAAACAACTGGCCAGGTAACAAAGCCAATTGACTTCCATTTCTGCACAGACGAGAGGATTAAACAGCACACAGAGAGCCAACCTGGGAATGAATACAAGAAGCTGGATTTCATAGCAGCACTGAGAAAGCACCCTCCATCTCCGGTGAGAGGATAGGGCAGCAAGGGTGCTACCTGATTGTTCTAAATCTATTGGTGGCTCTTCCTGTTCCACTGTTTGCTAATGTGGGATTTGCTGGTGGTAATTCACTGGGTGTGAGTGTAAGAGGTCATGTGGGATGTGACCGACTAATAGAGGTGCTGTGGTCTTACTGAGCATCGCCGTGCTGGCTGTCAGCACCTCTGCAGAGTTTCCAGTCTGGCCCATCCCAGAGCTTGTCGTATGTCCAGTCAGCTCATAAGTGGTGGAGGTGGAATCTGGAATCCCATCTACTAGTCCAACAGGTTGAGTTCCCATGAGGCTCCAAAAAGAGGATCCTCTGAAAATAGAGTAGTATGCCTTCCCCGGTACACCTACTCGTCAGATATCTGAGATGGGGAGCTAAGTATTCTTCCCTTACAGGTGATTCCTTATCAGCAAGGCTATTACAAGTCCTCATCCCTAGTAACCTACCAAGGATTCGATTTCCAAGCTGGAGTCCGCTTATTTAGCTACATCTGAGTATCAATGCAGTAGGGTCTATCCTCAGCAGTGCTGAGCATGCACATCTGTTCAAATCCGTGGGAGCTGTGCTCTCATCTCTGCATGGATTCTCTTCTCCTCTTCTCCCAAAACTACTTTAACAGCAAGAAAACTTCAGGGGGTCCATTTAATATAAATTGAAGATATGACTATGGTATCTGAGGTGGCAGACCAGAACATAAGGAGGAGATTAGAATGCCTTAATCAGTTGGCATTGAGGATTAAATGAACAATTGTACAGTGCCTCCCTCCTGTTAAGCATTGACACTTTCCCTTACTAGCGGGAAGATGGACATCTTACACTGGTGTAGGAGTGAAGCTTTGGTGGAGTGCCTTGTTTAGATTGCTACAATGACCAGCAACTTCTCTTTCCAGGCACGAGTGGTGAAGGGGCCCACCGTCCCCAAACCTTTCAATCTCTCCTGTGGCAACAAAAGGAAGTTTGAAGAAACTACATCAGAGTATGTCCCCCTTGCTCAGCAGATTGAAAACTTCCAGAAACGTACTCCCTCTCGTTACCATTTGAGGAGCAGGAGGACCGATGAAAGTAAGCCTTAGTGAAGTGGGCTAGCTGGTAATTTGTGCACCCATGTAACAGGGGAGCAGGAAGCAGTAACTTGTTAAGGTTCTGCCTACTTTATATGAGTGTCTCTGAGCCTGGCCATCTGCTCTAATTAAAATTATCTGTTTCAGTTCCGGCTATTAATTGCTAGTTTCTGTGATTTGGATTTGTAGGTCCAATTCCAGTAAAGCCACTGAAGGCCAGGCTTACGCAGCCCAAAACTCCACTGCTTCAAACCAAACAGCGCTTAAGACCTGTAACTTGCAAGAGTGCAGCTGAGTTGGAGGCAGAGGAAATAGAGAAGCTCCGACAGTAAGTAGAAGCATTGTTTAGACACTGAAATATCCTAGTGTCCACAGAGCAACCTTTAACCAACCCAAAAGTCTCCAGGTGCTAAACTACTGCTTCTGAGGAACAGTCTTGTGTAAAGCTATAAACAACTGTGTAAATGAGCTTAATGTATCTAGATTTAAAGCAAAAGGATATAGGATTGATAATTTAATGTAGATATGGAAAATGATCCAGTTCATAAAAGGAAAGGACTCTAACTCTTGGCCAAGAGTTAGTTAGTAACACTCCCCTAATAAGCAAGTACAATCACCACATGCAGTATAAACTCTCCTACAACCAGACTTGTTGTGTGTGTTTTTTTTTGTTTTTTTTTTTCCCCCCTAGTTGAGTTCTAAAATAAAAACATGTAGTCACTTAATCCAGTGGGTAAGATTGCGCCTGGGGAATGTGGTGAGTGGCTTAGTTGATCCTTGCTGACTCCTAGTAAGGAAGTGGAGCTATGCATAAGGTGAAATATGCAAGGCTCAACTGTTGGTCACTGTTGCTGATTTCTGCGGTGGTGGCAAGGGAAAAACGACTTATGACTGTTCTCTGCCTTGTTCTGTGTGTAGATGATTGTCCCCTCATTCTTCATGCAGATACAAATTCAAAGCTCAGGAGCTTAATCCAAGGATCATAGAGGGTGGGCCAATCCTGCCCAAGAAACCCCCTGTGAAAGAGCCCACACAGCCTATTGGATTTGACTTGGAAATTGAAAAAAGGATTCAGGAGCGAGAGAGCAAGAAGCAGAAGGAGGAGGAGCATTTTGAATTCCATTCCAGGCCATGTCCAGCTAAAATCTTGGAGGATATTGTGGTAAGAACTCTTGCAACACAAGCTCTGCTCAAGAAACGAGAACATCTGAAGCAGCAGTAAGCTTCCATTTCAGAGCATGCTTCCCTATTTCTCTATGATGCTTACTGCAGTTTGTGTCTACCAAAGAGCTCCAAATATCACTTCACATCAGGGAAGAGCTACAGTAGGTTAATTTATGCTAGGGTGCTCCTGTGAAGTATTGCCTAGTCAGGGCTAAATTCTCACTTTACTATCTCCTCCTGACAGGGTGTTCCAGAAAAGAAGCCCCTTCCTGTTACCGTTCCTAAATCCCCAGCCTTTGCGCTGAAGAACAGAGTCCGAATGCCTGATAGCGAGGAAGAAAAGGTGACTAATTTGGGAGGGTTTCTGGTCTCCATAACATGTGGCAGCTGGGACCCTACCCTTCCCATAGCCAACCAGCAGCGACTTCACAAGCAGTAATGGGTGTTCTAGTTAAGCACTTCTTGCCTTCAAACTTGGGGGAAAATGACTCAGTGGAGAGACCTCCAATTAGCCCTCTTTCCAATGGCCATTACCTCCCAAAGGGAATCACTTTTATCTGTCCTTCAGAGAAATCAAATCCTCTTAAGAAAATACATTTAACTGAGTAGACCTTTTATTTTAAGGGATGTTGTTTGGGCTCCTGAGGTACTGAAGGTATGCCCTTTGCTGCTGTCACTAACTTTGTCTTCCTGGGGAAAACTACATGGCTTATAGCCTTCTTGAGGAGTGAGGGCTCTGGCCCTGATGCTAATCTGCTGGGGAGGGAAGTGGACATTCAGGATTTGTATTTTTCGCTATAGTTATTCTAGGTGCAAGGGGAGCTTCTTCATAAACAGGATGAAGGCCTTTCCGGCTCGAACACCTTGGTGCTACCATGGTCCACCTGGGGAGACCCAGGGCCCTTGAGGGTGGGTGGAGAAACTACAATCCAACCTTAGTGAGTAGTAGAACAAGCAAGATTTTTGCATTGTTCAGCTTGTTCCCCAAGAAGCCTCAAGACTGATACCTGTGTTATTATTCCTGTGGCAGTCTGTTACACTGTACCGTGCCTCTTAGTAGGAGAGGACAATATGCCAGTCTTAAGCCCTTCATTTTTAGCAACACTAGGAATCTCCCATCACCAAAAGTCTTAAACCTGCCATCAAAGAACAACACTGGTCAGGGGATCAGTGTGTCTCTTGTGTGTCTCAGCCTGTCTCCTTAATGCTGCTGTTTCTTTAGAGAGAGGAGGTGGTCCCGGTGATCAAAGCTAACCCCATGCCACACTATGGAGTGCCCTTCAAACCTAAAGCCCCCGAGCAGAGGCATGTGGAAGTGTGCCCCTTCTCTTTTGACTCTCGTGACAGAGAGAGGTGGATGCAAAAGGAGAAAAAAATAGAAGAGCTGCAGAAAGAGGAGGTGCGTGCTGGGAAATGTCTTGGATTACTCTGTTTCCAAAAAAAAAGAAAAAATCCCATCTCTTGCTACTGGCAGAAATGCTTGTGGGGTTTCATGTTCAAGCAAAACTGCTCATGTAGACTGACCAGCTGTACAGCTTTTTGCAAACCTATTTTGCAAGATCTCAAGAGTGCTACAAAATCACTGGGGGGGGTGTCAGTTCCCCTGATAAGAGTAAATGGATCTCTAGGGAATATCTTCACTTGGGAAGATATTCCAACTGTCCATCTCAGTGTCCTTAAATCCCTGGAGGTAAATAATGGAATTCCCGTTTTCCTCTCCCTCTGTTCTTGTTGGCCCAACATTCAGAGGAAGCATGGGAACTGCCATTCTGGATCAGTGCATTGGTCTGTGTGGTCTAGGGGCCAGTAACAGATGCTTCTGAGGAAGGTGCAAGAAATCCTTCAAAAGGCAGTTATGGAAAGGCAGGCCTGCAAAGCAAACTTCTTCCTAACTCCCATTAGTCTGATTTATTTCCTGAAGCAGAAAGACCTTATTCCTTCTTAAACCATTGGTTATCTTTTTAATCACTAATGCATTGCTGGATAACCTTACCCATGTAAATCTTCATTCCTCTTGAGTCAGCTAAATTCCTTAGGGTTTTCAAAAATATCTAAGGGACTTAGGAGCTAAAATCCCATTTGAAATTCAATAGGAGTTGGACACTTAACTCCCTTAGTTTCCTTTGAAAACGCCTACCCTTGGCATCTCTTGTACCAGTAAGCTCCAGAGGATGGGGGAGTATAGTGTTTCCCTTAATCAGTTTCAAATTTGCCACCTGAAAAGTAAGGGTGATCTTAATCCAAGCAGCACATCTCTTCCCATTATTCAGGTTTGAATTTTGTTTCTTGTAGGTACCAAAGTTCAAAGCACTACCCCTGCCTCAGTTTGACCACATCAACTTGCCACAAAAAAAAGTGAAGAACACAACACAACCAGAGCCCTTCCATCTGCAGACAGATGAACGGGGAGCTACCAAGTTGCAGAATTGGCAGCAACAGGTAGGACTAATGGGACAGCAATTCTGTGGCACTTCGGGCCACAGCAACTCTTCAGAACTGGGCCTGAAGAGTCTGGCTTCTATATGAAGTGCCAGTTAAGCAGAAATGGGACTTGCTGGCATCTAAAATCAGTTTATTCGTCACAGTGGTATATTAGCAATGGTTCACACAGCAAATTATCCTGCCTTGGGTTCAAGTCTCATCAGACCTTTTGGTATTGTGAGAAGCACCCCGGAACAGCTGTTACCTGCTGTTTCCCAGGCCAGCTGTGCACAGCTGGAGCTCTCCTGTAATCTGATGTTGGAATTCCAAGTGCTGCGATAAAACTGACCGTTAGCTTCTGAAGCTGCTTTCCAGGCAGCTCACTGTACAAATGCCAAGCAGACAAGTGCTGCTTGGCTACATTTCTTTGGGGTTTAAATTCTCTCAGTTTTCAATTACTGAATTGTCTGAAGTCTAAACTTTGTTCTGTGTGAAGCAGAGAGTGTGGTGCATTTCAATTACTCAGTTCCTGACAGGACCCTTCTTCCCCTGCAGATCAAAGAAGACCTGAAACGGCAGAAAGAGGCAGCGTGTTTCAAAGCTAATCCAAACACCATTGTGCACCAGGAGCCTTTTGTGCCAAAGAAGGACAGCAAGCCAATAGCAGGTGGAGTTACATGCACTCACTGCACTGGCTTGCTGGCAGTCCAGGGCTGACGCATAAGTGCTGTTGAACTGCACTGAGAAAACCTGCTGATACCTTTTTAGCATCCACATAGCTAGTGGTGCTTGTGCAATACTTAATCAACAAATTCTCTAACAGCCTGAGTCCCTAGGGAAAGGGGGGTGGGGGGGTTTCCTCTTCACTGCTCCATCTTCTGTTCTAACATGGCAGCTGCATTAACAGCGTTGCAGTTGGCAGATAATGGTTACTCGCTTGGGATAAGGTACAGCACATGCAAGGAGCTCCCTGTAGAGACAGCTGACATTTCTGTAGCAGCTGCCAGGCTTTCCCTCCCTTCCCCTTTATGAAGAGGGGCAAAGCTTGGTTTGTGGGAACTGGGAGCTTTTGTCTGTTCTCTATCCTACAACAACCTTCTCCTTAAAAGTCTGTTTGTAAAGAACTCTTCCAAGAAGTGCCCTAGATCAGGGGTTCCCAAACTGGTGTGTGCATACCCCTGGGGGTATGCAAGACCTCTCTGGGGGGGTACACGGGAGAAATTGTGTAATGGTGGATTTTATTTATTTATTGCATTTTCATACTAGGCAACTCAGCCAAAGTTTTAAATCTCTATGGGAATTTGTTATATAAAATACAGTACAGTAGTTAATTTACTTCAAGATGTGCCAATGAAAACACAGACGCTGACCTACAGAGCCGTCACCTCCAATCACCATAAAGTGCGCTTCAGTTGCCCAGCAACTGTCCAGTCTAGCTGAGCTCAGAACTTAGTCAGGGGCGTGGTGTTTTTTTTTTTTGTTTGGTTTCAGTTGTATACATCGCACTATAACTGTATGTGCACGTAACAGTGAAATATGGACAGATGGCTAAAGACAGGTGTGTTAAGAAGAACACACACAGTATCAGTGATGAGAAAGGTAAGGGTACATTGGCAGCTGGTAGCTCTGGAAGGAGGTACACAATAAGAAAAGTTTGGGAACCTCTGCCCTATACTGACCAGCGCCTACATTCATTGGCCCATTATTGGAGAACTGACACTGTATCAAAGCATCCCAGATGCATAAAGCTCTTCCTTCTCCCAAAATCCTAACAGCCTCCACTAATCCACTTGAAGCATGGACCTCTAGAGGAGGAGACTTCTGTCTAACTCTAACATAGCTATGCTTTGGGTGACTGTTGTGCCAATGTTGTTCCCTCTTTCTAAACTTAGAGAACCTTTCTGGTTCCATAGTTGCTGAAAGCTTTGAGCTGGCGACAGAAAAGAGAGCAAAAGAGCGTCAAGAGTTCGAAAAGCGACTAGCTATGTTGGAAACTGAAAAAGAGAAGCTTCAAGAAGAGGAAAGACAGCAGGAGGCTGAGCGGGAGAAAGAAGAACTCTCCAGGCTGAGACAGGAACTGGTAAATGAGCCGGCTATTCCTGGTCAGGGGCGGGAACACAGACTGACTGGGCTTATTAACTTGTCTGTCTTGGACATGCAGCAGCCAAGTGCAGTCCTGAGTCTACTGCTGTAGTGATCTGCCAAGGCCCCGTCTCCTAAATTGGTCTAAAAACCAGTCCCTCTGGGGGTATTATTGATACTTGTGCCAGATTGCTTTCTTAACCTGCTACATCAGCACTTCAGGGCCTAAGGGTACATGTACACAGCTTGAACTGAACAGTACAAACACCAAAGCAGGCTCCTACAAATGCACATCATGTTGCTTAGGGCAGGGGTTCTCAATCTTTTTCTTTGAGGCCCCCCCAACATTCTCTTAACTTCACAGCCCACCTGTGCCACTGCATATAAAAGCCAGGGCTGGCGTTACGGGGTAGCAAACAGGGCAACTGCCTGGGGCCCCATGCCACAGGGCCCCCCACAAAGCTACATTGTTCAGGCTTCAGCCCCATGCTGTGTGGCTTCAGCTTTCTGCCCTGGGCCCCAGCGAGTCTAATGCTGGCCCTGCTTAGAGGCCCCCCTGAAACCTGCTCGAGGCCCCCTAGGGGACCTCGGACCTCTGGTTGAGAACTCCTGCTTAGAGTGTAGTACCCAGACCACTGGCAGCACAGTCATTACGCTTTAGTGCCTAAACACAGCTCCCTGACTGCATCCTCTTGGTGGCTGTTGAGCTGTACTATGGTAGAATTGGGATGAGTGTAATTAAACCACGGTAACTGACCCTTAGCTGTCCTTTTTGTTTTTGTAGGTACACAAGGCAAACCCAGTTCGCAAGTACCGCAGTCTGGAGGTAAAGCCAAGTGACCAGCCTCTGACAGTGCCAAAGTCTCCGAACTTTTCTGACCGATTTCGGTGTTGATCTGCACCAATGTGTAGGAGCCCTCCTTTCCCAGCCTCTTGGGTATAGAGAAAACACATGCATCTAACTTGGGACTCCTCTTAAATTAATGCCTGCCTCCATTATTTTATTTGATATTGAGTAGCTTTAACAATTTCACAGAGGCAAGTGGCTGAAATGGGCTGTGCCTGGATAGAGATCACCAGTCATGTGGCTTCACTCAACATGTAGAGATGTTCATCGTAAAGACCGAGCCAGGTTTTAATAGTGTACCCAAATTAACTACTTTGCATACTTTAATAAAATAAAAGGTGTTCTGCCGGGCTCAATTCCCTTTTTGTGGAAGGGGTTCAGATGTGTCTTGGGTTCAGTTGGCACACACCAATCAGGTGCTGGCCACCTCTTCAAGCTGCCGCCTTGTTTTCCAGAATCTAAGATTGTTTGTTTGGTTTTTTTAAAACACATCTCCAGCTGTGCCCCTCACTCTGAGTAGTGTAATTCAGTAATGCCTTGGTCTGCAGTCTCTGAAACCATAGCTGAGGTATAAACTGCCCCATTCATTTCAGTGGGTGATCAGTCAGGTGCTGACGGACAAGACTCTTAATAGTCAACATTGATGATCAGTAAAACAGTTAGCAAAGTAATGAGTGGGAATATCGTATGATTATCCACACTATCTACTATGAGAGACTGCCTGCTCTGTCCCTGTGAGTGGGCTTGGGAATATTTCAGAGCGCTGTGTGTGATTATGGCCACCTCTCTTTCCCCATTTGACTTCTGCTTCAGCTGCCTTCTCAAGGGTGTAAGGTCTTCAGGTCACTGGGCCCTGGCCCTCTCCACTTGTAGGAGATACATTTATTTCTGTGGTCTGAGTCTCCTAGGTGGTCTGTTGGCTGTGATAAGGCTGTAATGATGTGGGGTTGAGCCATGCAAACTTTTCAAGCAAGAGCAAACTCTCTAACCTTATCTTGAGGTAGTGGTAAGAAGGAAACAACCATTTCCAATGATACCATCAGTGCAGAATTCTCCGTTCTGGGTCTTACGTCTCTAGCAGGAGACTGACTGAAGTCTCCTAGCTCTGGGAGTGGGAGTTAGCTCTTGGGCGGGGCAGCTCACCCAGTAGTGCCATGGTAGTGGGACAAAACATGAGCCAGGCCCCATACTGGCTGTGTCTCCCAACACCAGCAAAGCATAAATGCTGCCCACCAAACATACTAGACAGTTCCTTCAACTTAGTGGAAGGCAAAGTTCTCAGAGAAGCCAGTTCCATCTACAGAAAATAAATGTGCATTAAAAACAAAAAGGCACAAGAGAGTGAAAATTCTTTTTCTGGGAGGCTAATCTCAGGAGGTGGCTGAAGGAAGGGGAGCCCAGCAGGATGACTTCAGAGCCAAATCCCAAGGTAAGTAACTCTCCCTTCTTTGGAGATACCAACTACACAGAATTCTCACTCCTGGAGAGCAAGAAGCTCAAGCGATGTCAAAAGAGCACAGCTTCAGCAAGTAGCAATAAGCAGCCAACAATGTGTATGGGGAAGGTTTTGTCCTCTGTCTACATGTAAAATCACTAACCCAATAACTGGGGACCTTTTCAGAGGAGCCTAACTCCTTTAGAATTTCAGCAAGGTTTGGGTGATCCTCAAAGGAGCAAAAGAGATGCTCTGGACAAATCCCCAACAGACATCTCCCTGTGCGAAGGGAGAATAAATAGAGGGCTGGAATACCAGAGTCGTGGCCAGTGTCATGCTCAGCAGTAAAGGCAAGAGTGAATCCTGTACGACAGCATCTTCAGAGATGTAGAATTAAAAGGTAGGTATCTTCCTTCTGGTTTGCAGCCTCTTAACCTTGCTATTACTTCTACTTCAGTGACAGACCAAGTCCATATTGGGACTGAATAGTTGGGATCTACTTAGTTTTAAAACTTGGTAAGAACCTCTCCTTCCTGTTGCTAAAAGAGCTAGACTGTCAGCTGGTGGATAATTGGGCTGTTCAGTGTGTTTGCTTCCCTCCAGCCTTTCCTAATGCTGTGGCACTAACTTGGGCTGAAGTCAGACCTGAGTCACTCTCTGGGAGAAGTCTTGGTACCTCTCCTGCTGGCAGTCAATTTAAATCTTGGCTATTGAATGTTCAGAGCATTTAGGATACATTTCCTCATAATTCCATCTTCCTAATAACTTCAGATCAACACTTGGTAGTGCCTCGTAGCATTGCGCAACTCTGGGTGATCATTTCTACAATGCCTGGATTTTTTCCTCCTTTCCCCATTCCCTTAATGGTATGTCACCATATGTTCCTAGCTTGTCTGGGGAAATCCTTAGTGCTGATAGAAGCAGTTAAGAAGCTGTTGACTACATAGCTGGGGTTTTCTCAGCCAAGTCAGGCAGGCTATCTTAAGCTTCAGTGCAGCGGCTAGGATTCAGGTAGGGACGCTGTTCTCATTCTGAATCGACACCATCTGCCTCGCAGCCTGCTGCGACACTCAATTTAGACCAGGTATAAAGTTTCCTGGGGAACAGACAAGGTCTGGCTGTGTGGAGTTTCTGAAGCCTATGAAAAGAGCATAAAGGTTAAAGTGTGTAGTGCTTAGAGCTGTGACGCTTGTGTAGCTAGGGAACTGGCGTGCTTGATGCCTTGCCAAGTATCCCAGGACACTCTGTTTTCCAACCAGAGCCAATGTGGATGCTGGCTCAAGTTCCTAAGTGGAAAAACACTTGGCATTTTCTTGTTCGTTTCCTGCTCTCAAGAGCAACCTGGACCACTGTTATAAAGTCACTTTGGGGTGTGGCTTTTCGTTCTTAAACTTGGACTCTCAAAGTGACAACTGGCCCAAGTGCCTGAGGAATGTGCGTCCAGAACAGAATCCAGCAAGCATTGCCACACTCGCTCATGAGCGCTGGCGTAGGGAGAATAAAAACACTCCGCCCCCAACTTTGCCTTACTCCCTCTCCTCCCCCTCCAGTAACTACATTATATAAAAAAGTCTAAGTAGGGAGGGGGTGTTCCTCTAACTGTGCCAAAAGCCTGGGCCATCCTAAAGATAGCCCCTTTCACTTCTTATCCATGTAAACGATCTACAGACCCATGCTACCCACTGGTACTTTCTAGCCCAGTTCAAAGGCTCCATCCTGTAATGCTAATCCTGCCTGCCTGTACATCTTTGACTGCTACTGAAAGATGAAAACTACAACTGCATCGCCTGTTGTCTGTACTGGCTCTCATAGTGTTTGTTTTCCCGGAGCCTCGTTAGACAATCTCACAACTCTGTCGCTGGCTGTTAAATCGACCAGCTGAAAATGGAGAGGAAGAGTTGAATGGAATAGCCTTGGACTGGTGTGTGTTAGGCCATGAAAAGCAAAGTACCTCATTCTGCCAATGGGGGTTTGGGGCAGGGGCAGAGCAGACACATGGGAAAAGATGCAGCAATACGTGGCTGGCATGAGGCTTGAGAGGTGGCTTGTAGGTATCTTGGCTGCTGTCCCAAGGAAAGAAGAGAATTTCTAGCTGCATAGTGGTAAGAGGCTACAGTTGGCTTAGATGTCCCCTATAGCCATCCAGTCCCATGGGCAAGTTTTCCTGCTTGCTTGCCCAAAGCCAATAAAGTAGTGCCTCTCTCTGCTTGCCTCTGTTGTGTACTCTGAGCTATGAGTGAACTGGTCTTCTGGTCAATTGACAGCATCGCTATCATTCCTAGTCTCAAACTTCACTCTATAGTCCATGTGTGCAATGGAATCTATTGATGAAAGCTAAGCTTCTGCCTCATGTCTAATTGAATTACCACCTTGAGTAACCTTCTACAAGTGGCAAGAACTGTCCATTCAGGAGCTTTAAACCAAGTTGCTACGCAGGAACAGATCTGACCGTCTCCTATAATTTCTGTTCTCTTCTGCAATAAAGGATTTAGGTCCAGATCCTCAAAAAGAGGTGGCTAGATTCCACTTATTTCAGTCGAACTTAGGAGCATAAATACCTTTTAAGGATATGTGCCTTAGTCCTTAACCATGCTAGGAGAACCCTGTGCACTCTGCCTGCTTGGAAATGCAGCCAGGGATGCTGAAACAATCATGAAGATGTGAACTAACTGCACAAACTACTGTGTCATGTTAGCTTTTAAGCCTAATGATGCATCAAATTGTAACCACTACTAATCTTGTTCCAATCACTTGGGCAGAGAAGTTCACCGAGTCTCCTTATCCACCCACCATTGATGTCAAAGCTGAGTCATTGCCCCTTTCCTTGCCATTGCAGGATTGTACTTGCAGGCAGTTCTCCAGATTCATTTTTAAAATGACCTCACCAAGAGAGCTACCACTACCTCCGTTGAGTCTCTCTCCCCCTCCCTCTCTTCCTCCCCACCAGCAAATGTTTTCTTGTCCCCATCTTCTCCTATTTGCCCAAACTTTCCACCCCATTCTACATGTGCTGCTGGGCTGCAAGTGAGTTACCAAGGGAGGGGCCAGAGAACCAGCAATCAGGTTAGGAGGCTGACTCCAGCTGGGAACTAACAGCATGACTGTGAGGACACAAGATTGCTTCCACCTCCCCTTCCACTGAAAGGAATCCGTGCATCACAATAGTGGCCAATACAGGATCATGCTGGTACAGAACAGTTCATGGTCTTCCGTTCCTATGATGCCGTGTTGTCATGGGAGTTGGCCACCCGTTTTTGGAAAATACGTCTTTTGCTTTCTTCCTGCCAGAGCTGTTCCAAGTACTAGAGCTAGACTGTTGCCTTGAGGCAGTCAAGGACCACCATGGAGTTAAGTGGCTTTAGTGGTCAAGTGCAGTGTGTATGTTTGGTGTGATTGTAACTGCATCTCTCAGATATGGACCAGCCCTGCCTGTCACCTGGATACTGAAATGTGCTCTTGGTGTCTGCCTGCGCTTGGCTTTTCCTTTAAAAACCTGATATTTTATTCACTGACAGGTTACAAAGATGATAAATTGCTGTCAAAGATGTTCTGGTCCCAGCAGCTCTCATGATGGGCCTTACTGGAAACCTTGTTGTTATGGGGTCATGTCCCATGCTAGGTATGAATGCTGGCTGGGAGCAGAAGCCTAAGGATAGCCACAGGAATGGGGAAGGAGGGTAGAGAGAACAAAGTGAGGGATTGTGGCATATTTCTTGACTTGCCTTAAGATTCGTAGATGCACAGGGCTGGTCACCAGATAGCTTTGCATCAAACTAACATGGTGTGAACTGAAGCTGACTTACCTATTTTGATGCCAGTCTGTGTAAATGCCATTAGTTTAGACTAAAACCCATCAAACTGGTTTGACTTTAGCAAAGTCACTTGAGTCACATTTGGTCTGAAAGACGTGTCCCCGCACAGCCTTGGCCAAAGCCTAACTGACCTGGGTTAGCTAAACTAGGGCAGGTTTGGGCGTAGCCCAGCCTTTGGGCTTGATCCTGCAAGCGCTTGCCTGGTCCCATTTGAAGGGAATAGTCCTCCTGAGCTGAGTAAGCCTTACTTATCAGAGGAAGGCTGTGCAGTATCTGCTCCCAACAACCCCAAAACTGGCTCCCTTCCATCCCAGCTTTCCGAATTGAGCAGGGCTGACTTTTCCTCGCCCCATGGCCCAACCAGCTGGGCAGCCAGCTGCCTCTGCTCTGGCTAGAAGCAGGGCACCTGCACCAGCCTGTTGGATACTTAGCCAAACCCAGGCAGGCTTTCCTTGCACAATCCTTCTGAGGCTTCGCACGCTGCTGCAATTCCCTCCCCCCCCCCCCCCCCCCGGTCAAAATCCTAATGGTGAGGCAGAGCAGAGGCCTCCAGATCTCCTGGATCCCTAACCTAAAAGGAAAGGATGGCGCACAAGTGGAGCGGGAACGATGTAAACTGCCCCCCATAAACAGTGCTCTTGTCGTTCAGTACAGTCCGACCTGAATCCTGGCTCATCTGTTAGTTAAATCTGACTCCCCGCACAAGAATTAGGGGACCTGCTGCCTACTTAGAAGCCCGCAGCATCGTCACTTGGGCTCTGCATTGTTCACTTTGGGAATGCGCGGGCGTAGGGAGCCGGGCACTGAATGCTAGCCCTGGCTCCTGGCAGCGGAAGCCAGGAAGCTCTTTGCTGGGTTGGGCCCCCTATAGCATTAGGGAGAGAGACGCTCTTGTCGTTGTGCGGAGGGCTGGCTGCAAACCCTGCCTCTCCAATATTAGGCACTGGGGCATTGGCTAGTTGTGTTGTAACCGAAAAGGTCATTCTTTAAGTTCCACTGCCTCTAGTTTTCCAGTGCAGATGACCAGGGAAGAGAGCAAGCCAGGGCAACACCTCTCCTAACCAGTTCCTTTTAAAGACCCTGCTCGGCGTCCCCACCTCCCCGGGCTGGGGATGTTTCCAGGCCCATTCTGGCAGTTGAGCTTCATGCCAGGATCAGGAGTGACTGTGCAAATGAGTGTCTTCCTCAGCAGGCTTTAACCGCTTGCCTGCTGGAGGCTGAGGGGCCGAAGCTGCCCAGGCTGCCGGAGCTGTGTTATGATGCTTCATTGAGCCCTGGGTGCTATTTGTACCCCTCACCCCACTCCCCAGGAGGTAGGGCAGTGCAATAAGACCCATGGTACGTAGCCTGGGCCTCAGTTCCCCCTAACTGACTTGCCCTAGATCACACTGGGCCTAGATGGCTAAGCAGGGAATTGAATCCAGGTCTCTCGTTCTAGGCCAGCCGCTAACTACTGGACCATCCTCATCTCTTCCTCCGAGAACAGCCCTAGAGAAGGTTGCAGTGGGGCACAGCAGGCTCCTGAGGGGCATCACTTAAGACCCAAACACCTCAAAAGGCCGTGCCCTAGCCCATGGGATCCGGTGGTCATTAGGTCTTTGGCGGTCAGTAGAAGCCCAGAGCATTGTGGGAGTGCTGACTGGGTGCTTGCTACACTTGAAATAGAAAGGCACTGTCCTCCTTCCATGCTTCCAATCTAGTAGCAGACCCTGCCCATCTCTGGATCTCCAACCGAGCCTGGTGCATGCTGCATATTGGGGGCTGGCTCTGGCGAGGGGGTCACCAAAGAGTTGGTGGCAAAGCTGTGTTCTGAGGAGGGATTGGAATGGAGGGAGGGGAGGCTGTTTGGGATGGGAGAGGTATTTAACTAGATCCTATTACAGCTTAGAGTAGTGCCTACCTGCACCACCTACTGAATCCATCTCTTCCTGTCCTCAGTGTTGTGTGCTACTTAACAGCTGGTACATTCTACCCCAGAAGTAGCTGCTTTCTTAGTGCTAGAAGAGGGAAGTTGAGTGCACTAGGTGAGAGGTGCTAGACGACCCTGAGTCAGGAGTTGTTATTGACATTGGCTCAGAAGCAGGCAGTGGGCAGCACAGTTATGTCTTGAGTCTCCAGTGCTTTTGTGGGGGGGGGAGGGGGAGGGAGAAGCTGGGGAGTGTTAGCAGGGATGACTCAAAGCTTATGAACTCCAAGCAGCAGGAGGTTGGAGACCCATTGGAGGAAGACCACAACTGGGCAGCAGGCAAAGGCCAACGGGTGGGGAAGCCAGAGGAAATCCCAGCCTCCACTGGGAACCTCGCCAGCCTTGCAACAGCTTGAATTGCACCTTCCTAGTTGGCTAAGTGAGCAACGAGGCTTCCAGCCTGGGGGACTCTGGCCTTCTGAGGTACCCAAAGAGCTGCCACCCCTCCACAGCCACTGTCCTAATCGCAGCTGCTGCACCGGCCGCGGACTGTCTCCAGGCCCTGGCAAGGCAGGTCAGTGAATGCTGCCCCCTCCATTTTACAGATAGGAAAACTGAGGCACAGGGTGACGGGCCTGAGGGCACACAGTGCGTCTGTCTGAGCTGCCCATAGAGGCCGGGGCTCCTGCTTGCACTGCAGCGCTGTAGCCACTAGACCCCGCTCCCCATCTGATGCACCCACCAGTAGCTTTTCTTTGGATATAAAGCAAAGGGTCAAAAGTCGAGGCCTCTGCGCTCCCCTTTGTGGTAAGGAGTGGAAGCCCCTTGCTTTGCCCTGCACGTGCTGTCCTAGCATCCCTGGGGCCAGTGGGGGAGCAGTCAGCCTGGCTCCAGCTATTAGTCCTGCACAATCAACCCAGTAACCCGCTAGGGGTTGGAAGCAGAGACTGGACTCAAACCTCTGCTTTAACTGCAAGTTGTGTAGCTCCACGCACCCACCGGGTGCTCAGTTCTCTGGGGGGGGGTTAGTCTCTGGATCTGTGTTGAAAAGGGACCTGGAGCCTTGTACAAAACAAGAAGGGAATATGGGCACAGGTGGGGCTGCCTCCCACAGGGCCCTACCAGCAGTGGGGTTTAGTCTCTCCTCGCTCCGTGATTTTAAGGCTTGCTAGACTGGGCCATGCTCTGCTTTGGGTTCCCAGTGAAACTGGTTTCACTCCAGGTTTGCTGGGAGCACGGGGCGGGGGCGGGACACTGCCCTGGAGGGTTCTCGTGGCTCTTGCGTGGGGCCTGCTCCTGCCTGTCGCGTGGTGCTCCTGCTCCCCGGAACTGGAGCGCTCCCCGGACTGTCCTGGAGTGGGGCTGGGAACGCGATGCCAGGCTGCCCTGGGCTCCCCCGGCCGAGCGGGTCATTAACAAGCCGGGGCCCGGGGCTGGGAGTGACGGCAGCAGAGCGCACAGCGGGTCCCTCCAGGCCGATTCCTCCTCTCCGGGGCTGGTGCGGGGCTCCCCGGGGGTCTCGGAAGCACCTCGCCGGCCGTGCCACGGGGCAGGTCGAGTCCAGGCGTGAGACCGAACCCCCCCCCCCTTCCTGCGTGTACCCGCAACGCGCCCCAAGGGGCATTTCGGGGGGGGGGGGGCTGCACTTAGCTCTCCACGCCCCCGACCCCTTCGGTAAAGGATCATTTCCTGGGGGGGCTGGTGCCCGCTCGGGGGGCGGTGGCGGAGTTCGGGGGGGGGTTCTGGCATCTGTTCTCTGTTTGTTTGAATTCCCGTCTCCCCCGCGCAGGAGAGGAGAGGCGAGGCGAGGCCGGGCGGGGAATGGAGTGTCCTTTGAACGCGCTCCAGCAGTGACAGGTGGCCTGAAAGGCGACGCGTAACGCGCTCACACTGCTGTAAAGGATACTGCTCTCCGCGCACTAATCCGGCTCCGTCCCACGGAGTATAGAAGGGGCCGGCTCCGTCCCAGCACTGGCACAGCTCGGATGCTGCTCTGACCGCCTGCTGCCCCGGGGAGCCCAGGTAAGCGGGCCCGCTGCCCCCCCAGCGGCTCTGCGTTTGGGGAGAGCAGGTCCGGCTCCGCTGCGGCTAAGGGCTGCCTGCCGCTCTCCGGGTGGCCAGGGAGTTCCCCGTGGAAATCCAGCGCCCAGCCCGGGGGGGAGGAAGGGCCGGCGGGCTGCAGCCCGGGCTAGCTCCGCTCTCGGCGCCAAGCAGCCCCGGCCGGAGCGCTGCGCCCCGCGGGGGTTCGGAGTCCGGGGCCGGGGGCCGGGCACGGCCAGGCTGCGCGCGGGGGGTTGCCAGAGGCGCCCCGGTGGCGTTTGGCCGCTGACATTCCTGCCCCCCTCTCTAGGGCCTGGCGGGGGGGTGCTGGGGCCCGCGCTCCCGATGGCCGCAGCAGCAGGAAGCCCCGAGCCCGGGCTGCCGAGCCTGGAAGCCGGTAACGGTGCCCCGCGAGCTGGCCTGGGAGGGTGGCTGGTCCCCCCGGGACACCGCGGGATCTGCCGCAGCAGGGGCTGCCTACACCACTGGGGGGGGACGGGGGGTGTCGCTATGCTGCCTGGTGCGGCACTGGCTGCTGCTTCCTCCCCGCGGGGGCCCGGTCCTAAGTGTGGCCCCCGCCTCGGGGGCTCGCCAGGGCGCACGGGAAACCGCCCCACTAGAGACCTCAGAGCCCCATACCGGGAGGCTGGATTCCCCAGCAGCTGATCGGCTTCCCCCCTCGCCACCCGTCTGTCCTGGGCCTGGGCCCCCCCACATGCGGGTCGTCCCCCCCCCAGCCTAGGAATTGCTGAGTCCCCACCTGGTGCCAGCCCGTGAGCAGCCACGCAAAGCCCCCCGTGAAGGGCACTGGAGCAGAGTGTAGCCAGGACAATGGCGTGAGCCCCCCTGAACTCCCCGGGCCCGGTGTGGGGGAGGGCTCAGCCCATCTGCCCGGCAGCCGAAGGGCTTGTGGCTTCGGGGCAGCAGGGGGTCCCCACCCCCTGGAGACGCTCAGCTCGCCTCCTACAGAGCTGCTCCTCTTGTGCTGATCTGGCCGGGGGGAGCCTGGCCCTGAGCCCCGTGGGCTCTGCCTCCCAGTGAGCGCCAGGGGCCCCTGTGCGGGACAGGGACCCCCCTTGCCCCGCCCACGTGCCATCAACCCTTGTTGCAGGACAGAGCCAGCCGGAAGGGCACGAGGCAGCCCTGTGGGATGCCGTCTGGAGCCAGGGGGTCGGGAGCGAGAAGGGAGAGCAGAAGGCCTGTCTGAACCCAGGGACCTGCCTGCGTAACGAAGGGAAGCTGAGACCTAGGATCTGGGTTTGTGGGTCTCTTCCCTGGGGGTGGATCAGACCCCTCTGGGGAGCTATTGACTTTCTTCTCTTGTGCAGAAGCCGAGCCAAGGCCCGCAGAGATGCCCCAGGGTTTGGAGGGCCCTGCAGGGCAGCCAGCCGCTGCCACGGCTCCTTCGGAGGGGGCGCCAGTGGGCCAGAACGCCGGGCCTTGCACCAGCGTGGGGGAGGACACGGCCCCCGGCGGAGCAGAGAGACTGCCCCAGTCTGCCCCAGCAACCTCGCAGCCAACGGCGAGAGGAGAAAAGGCAGAGCCTGGAGAGAAGGGCGTCCCCGTGGCTGGGACGGGGACGAAGGCCAGTGAGAAGAAAGCAGTGGCCAAAGAGGGGCCAGAAAGCCAGAGCCAGCCTACGGCCTCCAAGCACGAGCCCCCAGCTCCCCAGCGGAGCCAGAGCTGCCCAGTCAGCAACCAGAGGTAACATCTCACTTCTCTCTCTAGGAATCTGATCCCCCAGGCAGCTGGGG